TATAACCATATGTGAGGCAGGGGTATCAATTGTGAGTCATTGTAATATAAATATATGTTACTTGTTCTGTTTGTTATTTTCTAAACTGATGGGCTGTGTTGCCCAAAGTAATATACTGAATAATCAATTTTTGTAACATATACAAAATAATTAACTCAATCAAGGTCAAGATTAAAACATTTATACCCCTGTTACCATTCTGAAGCATAAAAATTATAATATTTTGAGATTATGTATGTCAAATTTTACTAAAAAAATAATCCTAAACTTTTTAATACATTCGTCAATTCTATTGCCATTTCAGGATTTTAAACTAGAATGCATGTGCAGTATGATAATATAAGTAAAAAATGCCAAAAAGAGATTCAGAGAGAAAAGGGATGCAAAGAAAAATAGTCAAGGTGTGAAAAATCAATACATCAAAAATGACGTAGATGACGTGTTGTTGATATTAAACTCAAAAAAGCAAAATATACTGGTACAATCAAGCGAGGATCTCTCCCATTGTATAAATCCATTTGCAATATTATACGCATTGAAAGCAGCTGTTCATGACATTGTAAAGTTATATAAACAAGGCAGGTTTAAGTCCCTACTCAGCCCCAGAGAATCTCAAGAAGCGGACATTGAAAAACAATGACGTTGTCGGACGTCAAGGAACTAAACGGCGATAATTTGGCAAATAATAAAAGTATCAAGCTAAAATTTTCAACAATTCTTTATTTTTTGTTGTTTCATGTTCCTTATAAATTTTGAAAGCACAGACTACACAGTACAAATTTTATAGCCTCAGTCCACGTACTTTTTTGATAACCCCTCGAATGTTACAAATATTTGAATCCCCCCTCAAAAAAAATCAGTTTTAATAGAGGTCATTTTTTTTTAAAAATTCACCCATATATACCGGCATAAAACTTTGTTTCCAAATTTTCAGTTTTTGACTTGATTATTTATTTTCATATATGTTGTGTTGTTTCAGTTCATTATATTTTGTATTTCAAAACATTCAGAAGTTGCTTTTAACATTTGCTTTTACTAGCTATAGTTACCTGTGTGGAATAGTGTCCTCTGTAGCAACCACTAATGATAAAAAATTGATAAAACATCGCTTAATGATACAAATATCATTAAGCGTTGCAATGGAGCGCTTCTTGTCATAAATTATTCCATTAATGGTTGATATTCTCAACCGCTAATACTAAATCACCGCTACATGAGAACTATTTTTGAATTATTTTGCAAATTTCAGTGAACTCCATGTGTACCCCTTAAATATCCCGTGGATATAACTCAATATTTGCATATCCACTGCTTTCTCCCACTATGAACATGCAGTCATCAATTGCATTCCTAGCACTATAGACGCAATGCTTCTGCTATGAATGCAACTGCTATGCACACTCGTGTAGCACAAGCTCAACTACATTTATATAGGGTGTTGAGAAGTATATATATGAAATATTTTGCAAAAGGAATAAATGTAAGTTTTTGATAATATTCTTTGGAAAAAAAGAAATTCAGAAACATTTAAAATTGCTGATTTACATCTTTAAAATTTTAATTTTGGTCAATGTTTTTAATTGTATGATAAAACTTTATATAAATTGAAGAGAACTGCCATATTTTTATTTTTTCTTATCATATTTTTGCATATTTCTACAAAGAACGATAACTCTTCACACTTGGGCGTTTTAACATTTAAAAAAGCAACATTTCTTTATAGTATATCTATTTCAAGAAGGATTTCCGCTCTAAAAATAAATACAAGCACAAAAACAATCATATAAAGCATTCTGGAGTTATAATCTGTATTAAAGCTTTGCCCTTTTTCATCATAGTGTTAAATTATTGATTTTTGTCATAGGGTTTCAATAACGTTGATCGATGACGTCACAACTGCATGAAAACAAAAATTAAGAGAATGTGACGATGGCGCAGGTTGTATCCAGATAACTGTGTTTAAAAGATAAATACTTTACAAGTAGAGCTTTTTAAAAAAGCTTCCCGTCTTTAGCAACAATCTTAAACAGTAAACTGATCTACACCTATCAGGCCTTACAATTCTTCTTGAATTTCTTGATTTTGTATTTATACATTAGTTTGTTACTGGCATTAGCCCAACCACGGTTGTCGCTCGGTCATCTCCGTACTGGCCGAGAGCTTTCGGCAAACCTCGGCTGATTCCATTCCCTTCTTCAAACAAGAAAGGGGAAAAGAATTATAACAAATTGTAAAGCCTGCAAGCAATAAAAATCAAATTGTATTTATAATGAAATTAAAGAGACCTTTTCTATTTATTGCAATTAAAAAAAATATCATGTTATTGAGAATTAATTACTGCTGATTTTGTTGTTCGTTTTGTTCATTTTTTTTAAGATTGAAAATCTTGCAAAATTGTTAAGTCGTACGAAAATTAGATCAACAGAAAGTTATCTCCCTTGCCTTGAACAGCATTTCAACCAATGAAATAATTGATAATTTTCTCATCATGCAATTTCTACCAATCACAAAAGAGAGGAAGTGCATACTGAAAAAACTTCAACTATACAATACCGTCTTCCAAGGAAGACGGTAATAAATTGTTTGTGATTTATAAGAAAAAAGGTACAATAATCAGGTATACTGATTTTATAGCTGTGAGTTTTTATTTACTGAAGACAAGCCGCAACCTTATGTAAGCCAGGATTTCCTCTGATATTCTTGACAACATCAAAGAATGCAAATATAAGTAATAAACAACGATTATTCAGTGAACATGGCATTATGAATAGCAATAGCTCTGCTTGCATATTTTCCATGATGCGCTAGCGCGCATCATGGAATATGCCAGCAGAGCAATTGCTATTCATAACGCCATGTTCACTGAATAACGTTGTTTATTTCCTAAATAATTTAATTTGTAACACGTCATTTGATTGGGTAAAATATTTACTGATTGAACAAGGTAATTATGCCCGCCCGTGATAAAGCGGACCAGGCTTGCGATGTGGGTATACTAATATTCAGTTAAGGCATCACAGGCGCTTGACATTAAAACATTTCTCTACATTGACAGATCAGTAACATAAATATCACCATTATCACCATTATCATTTATTTTTGAGAGTAAGATGTCTCTTAAAGATATGTAAAGAGATACTATTTAAATTTCGAAAATATGACTAAGCAATTTGTTTGCAAAATGAATGTACAAAAATACAGATAAGAGTTCATATATGACACTTTGAAATTTCTCGTAGAATAAAATCAAATGCTGATGGAATTCGGGACTTCCTCTGGCAGAAGATATTCATACCCTCTCTCCAACTTCTCGTTTCTTTTATGAATCTTTACACTAATGTTTTTCAAATCTTTTTTGAATCTGAAAAATAAAAACCATTTGGTATATATTTATCCAAGATTCAGTCTCATCAAGAAAACAACGTTAACCCTTTCACTTCAGTGACTTCAATAAAATTGTGAAAATCCAAATTTTGTTATTTATTCTGACATAGTGTGCATGGTGCAAAACGGTCAACGGTAATGATTTTCAAATTTTACTATTTTGATTGAGGACTAACTGGGAATTATACCCGTTCAAACAATTAACTTGCCTTCAAGATGTCCAGTCGTATTGCCAACCAAGTTTCTTTTGAACAATAAAATGACTGTCTTTGGTTTTTATTTCGGGAATTATAAAATGTTGCAGCGGTTGCAGAAAGAAATACGGATTTTGTCTTTTTTCTTTTGCAACAGGTGCAACGTTAATTCCCGAACAAACAAGAAAACAAAAATTTATCATAATTGTTTATATTTATATCCAGTGTTTTACTTGAATAGTGAAGTAGATAAAATGCCTAAAAATGGTGAAGTAGATAAAGTTCCTAAATAATGCAACAGTTTCGTGTGTATTTTGATTTTTGTTTACAAAATGTATAAACATTTTAATTCTTCATAAGAACCAATAAACCAAATCTCTTACTCTTCCACAATCGCTACTGCAGGTGGGTCATAAATATAGTTCACTTCAAAGTCACCGAGAGCGTTAGTACTTCGTTCACTCAGAACTGTCATGACAACCATAGTATGCAGAGAGGAGGCCCTATCTAGTAGAGCCCTCACAACTTCCTTTTCCTGCAATGGCTTCTGAAATTTTAAAATCAAAGCATTGAAAAGAGGCATTTTGTCAGAGCAAAAACACAAATACACTCCCTCGCACACCTTTACACACATACTCAACACCAGCAGTGCACTTTTTACAAAACGTTACTCTTGCTGTAAATGATGACTGAGTCTGAAATTCCGATAAATAACTTAACATTAAAAAATTAATATTTATTTACAATGGAACTTCTTTGTTAATCATTAATAACTACTGTAACACAAGATACTAGTACATAACTTGAAAATTTACAGTGCTTTATTTTATTTAATGCATATTATAAAATTATAAATTTGAAAATAAGTACCTTATCCTTAGGGGGTGATCCTTTGATTTTGGTTGGATAGTTCGGGGGAAATCCGTATGAATCGTACTGAGGAAAGTTGATAGCAGCATGTACTACACTACAGGTGTAAATAACGAAAGTGAACACAAGTATCAAGTCCTCTGATGAATTGAACTTCCCGTCTTTGAATGGAACGCCCTTTTATAAAGTAAATACTATGGATTATCTTATTGAATGGAATTGAATACTGGATACCTAAGGGTCGTGAGGGCACCTGAATCAGTTATTTATCGTATTTCTTTTTTTTTCCATAGGTGAATAATCACAAGGAAATAACTTCCATCAATTAAGAGTAAAAAATCCATTAAACAATGGAATCTTGCACTATAGCAAGAACCTTTTACTAATGTTAATAAATTTCTCAGAACTAATTGAAAAAACTCTAGTTCAGTATTGAAGTTGTACTTGTTTTGCGTGCTAAATACAATGTCTTAAATGTAGGAACAGGGAAAAAAATTGAAAAAGACTACAATGCATTTTTATTACATGGACAGAAGAACCCCACCATCCAGAGCGTCTGAGGCTGGGGCCATGGCCTTCAAAATTCTACAAGGGTCACCCTTGCTCATCCAACTATCTGCTATCTATATGCCAGACTCAGAGAGGATTTAAATTTAAATTAACAATTATTCACTGCATGATAAATAGAACCCGCCTTTCCACCAGAACCTTTCACACTGGGAGTCTGAATTTCACAGTGTTGGTACAGGAACCATTGCTTATGATAATCATTTACTTAGTTTGTCTGCTATAGACCATAGAGCAGAAAAGAATGTTTAAAAAAAGATGCATGTCTACTTTTTGAGCAATGAAGTGCTCCAACTTGCAATAGAACCCCTGATATGCGTCCATGAATTTCATAATTTAGGTTGAAGTACTCTTCCAACCAAAAACCTTGTTTGTTCCACCTAGTATGGTTCAGAGGAGAGGAATATATGCATTCTTTAGGTTGTTCTAAGAACTTCCTCCGAAAAAACCTTGCACAGCCCATGACAGCCACTGGATTATCTATTTTTTCAAATGATAATAAGGGGAGTTCAGCTTTCACAGACACCATGACACCATTAAATCAAAGGTGTACAATGTAATCAAATACAATGACACATATAATAATTTTAGATATTTACATCTGGAAGACTTTGTTATCATAAAATATGCGCTCACGAATGATTGTGCAATAAAAGAAAGTTTTAAAACTTGTCAAATTCAATTGAAAAAAATATGTGAAATATCTCTCTCTCTGCATTGTTACCAAAATTCCGCAACCTCCTTCGGACTTAGGCATTGATAATTCACGTCCAAAGTTTTGAATTTCAGGATCATTGTTGATTTTATCAAGTGTGTCTGTTGTAGAAAAGAAAACATACATTACAATGAACTTAAGTCTATAACTTAAAAGTTTACTACCGTTATGTATAAAAAGTATGATACCTGTATTTCTAACGTCCCGCCCCGCACGTGATTTTTTTTAAATCGCGCCTATCAATGAGCCAGTACATTGATGGAGAAATAAAGTACATTATCTATTTGTAATTTTATTGAACAAAGACATTTGAAATGCAAATATCCAAAAATTAATTATTCGATACAGAGACAAATAAAATACGCACCATAGTAGAGATGGACATATTTGGTGACGTAATTTCGGATGGCATCATACAGGTCAAGACTATCGTCACGCTGGTAGAATTGTGGTAGAATTTTTCCATCCTTGCAATATATCTGTCAAAGTATGTTTCATATGAAAGAACTTTAAATATTTCATCTTCATTCGTTTTGTATCGATGTAAGAATTTATTTAATAACTTTAAATACATTTAAGGTATAAGGAAAGTCTAATTCAATTTTTTTTTTAGATGTTACAGCAAAATCCTATTTCCTTTAATTAATATTGTAAAATTTGGTGGGTTGGGAGGGGATGGGGGATATGTCTGTGTGTTATTTTAATTTAGTTTATATGTAACAGATGCTTTTCATGGGAAAGACCGATTGCGTTTAATATCATTTCTTCAACTTTTCAGGCATCTTAATTATATTTTTTAACAAAATTTAGTGCTTATTATAAGAATGAATGTAATTATATTGAATGGCTCTTAAGTGTGCAAAAATGCAATTGAAGAATAAAAAATGGCTAAAAGAATATGACATGGATATGCTGCTACAAATTGCTGAGTGAAAGCTTAAGTTTAATTATAAGCTCAAAAATACCCTTAAAACTAATCAAGAAAGGAATTATGATTTAACAAACCCCTCTTTCTTTCAAAAATTCTGGATAGGTTCCTTCTACATCCATTCTCCAAGAACTTATCCTAAAAGAATTACATATATAAAAAGGTAACATTTTAAAAAATGAACGAAAGAATAAAACAAGAACTTCGAAGATCTTTATTGACCTAAATGTCACGACTTTCGAAAGAAATACATAATGAAAAAAATCGAACGAAATATGCAGTTTTAACCATAAGCACAATTCTAAAATTTTACAGATGATCTGATTTAGTTTCATTTATATAAAAGTTTATACTTGTAAAAAGAAACAAAACAGAGCAGCATAAAGAGCATTTGAATGTGCGAAATAAGTACAGTAAAACCCATTAATTACGAAGTGCCAGGGACGAACAATTTTACATCATTATGAGCATTATTCGTAATATGCATCAAGTACAATATATAACAAGCTAATTCAGAGAATTTGTGTCCCCGCTTAAGGAAAATAAAGTAAAACATGCGCAGTTCGTGGGAGGGAGGGGGGAGAGTTGGATCCCCCTCACTGAATTTGTAGAATTATTAAATGTATACATGCATGTATACTGAAGCAAATAAAATATTCCACTATGGATATAAAGATTTAATTGCTTATTCTTTATTATGTGTATAGAAGATTCTTTTTATATGGAATATTTATCACACTGTAATGAAGATTTTATGAGTTTGTACAAGCCAAACATCGTAAATTTTTCATTTCGCGTGCTGAATACTATTATTTAGTAAAAAAAAAAGTATTTCAAAAAAAAAGTTGTCCGTCCGGGACTTGAACTAGGGACCTCTCACATTGGAAGCGAGAAACATATCACTAGACCACGGAATCGCTTTACCTGGAGTTAAGTATATGCAGAAATGAAGTTACATACATGTATATATTCATGTTCGGTATTGTCAAAATTTTACACAATCCATGGTGTTTGATTTATTTAGCCTTTATGAAACAGTTTTAATTGATGTAATAAGAACATGAAGTCCGCCGAGAACCTGTTTTATACGCAATAACTCTCCTCATGCCCCTGTGCTAAAAATAGCGACATGTAATACTATAAATACTAATAAAAAAAACGGGGCGGGGCACTTTGAGAGGGGTGAGAGAGGTCCTAGGGAGTTTTGGTATAAAATTACATTGTATAAGCTCAAAATCTTCTTGAAATATCGCCCGGAAATGATAGTGTTACACACAGACAGAATGTGTAAATTTACGACCTTGAACTTTGACCTTTTGACCTCAAAATCAATAGGGGTCTTCATAGGCCACAGGAAGTTGTTACGTAAAATTTCATTGCAATAGCTCAAATGGTTCTAGAGATATCGTGTGGAAACGAAAGTATTATAACAGACAAAATTTGCTTAATTATGACCTTGACCTTTGACCTTTTGACCTCAAAATCAATAGGGCTCTTTTTTAGTCCATAGGGAGTTGCTATGCTAAATTTCATTGCAAAAGCTCAAAGGGTTCTCGAGATATCGTGTGGAAGCGAAAGCGTTACAGACAGACAGAAAGACGGGCGGACGGACGGACAGACGGACGTACAAATAGACAGACATACCAATTACTATATACCCTCCCGCTTTTCCAGCAAACAGATTAACTAATAACCTCACCCTTTTGCGCCAAGCTCCACTGTTCCCTTGATTCCAAGCACCATTGCTGTTTCAATCCACCTTCCCTCAGCCAGAAGGATGGTACGAGCGAAACTAACAATGTCCAAATAAAAATAAAATGTATACTCAACAAGATGTGTTTGTGAAACACTATGTGTCCGGCGGCAACAAAGTTCGAAAAAGCTATTTTTAGCATATAGATCACAATAAAGGTCACCAGGTCATTGACCTTGGTGTCATTTGAAAAAGCTTAATTAGTGAAGTATACATACTAAATGTGAAGTTTTTATCTCTCACGGTTCAAAAGTTAAAGTTGAAGACAAACAGACAGGACAAAAACAATATACGCCCCGAATCTATCGATTCAGGCGCATAAAAAGAAATATGAGAATGACATGTGTCGTGGAATTTTTACGTTTACATTTTACTTTGAAAGAAAAACATTGATTGAGTCGTTGTACCTTTTTTAAAAAAAAAGGGAACACTATATGAATGATAATCAATCAGAGTGAAGATTTCATGCGCCAAAAATATATAGTTTAGATCAGTTAAGTTCTTAGTTTGGGGATTTGGAGATGAGATTTCTACGTCATTATATAACTTTATATAAATAATATTTATAATACATACGCATTGATTGGAATAATGTACAGAAAATGTGGAGCTAACAGCTTAAACATGGGATGGGAAGGAGATAGACATCTATTCGCTGCTACACACACACCTTCCATTAGTAGATGTGTGAAACCTAAATAAAGAAACTTTAAGATAATTTTTTTGAAAATCATCTATTTGTTTTCTCGCTAACCTATTCTATATGCACATTGTACACGTATTTTGATCAAATCATAGGCTTTTAATTCCCCCCCCCCCATTTTACTGAAGGAAATGCAGTTAAAACAACCAGTCTTTTCCTTAAAATCCAATATGCCATAAAGGAATTTGCGCGAATGGACAAAAGGTTTCAGTCTTGTATTCCACCATATTTCAAGTTAAAGACTACGCCTTGTATTTCCAACAAATATAGGTCGACAAAAGTTTTATTACAAAAAAAACAACAAAAAAAAAACTTTACAGGGCCCGGATATCGAATATCTTAAGCATAATCCTCCATGGTGTTCATGTTCTTCTTCGCCCTATAACTATAATCCTGCTGGGTACATTATTAAAGGTGACGTAAATATAGTTAAAATTAAGGACAAAATTCACAAATTTTGAAAGGTCCTAAATTTAAGGAACCCCGATCCTTCAACGTGCGTCGGAATTTCATTAATATTATGGATTCTGTAGAAGATTACACCAGGCGGTGGGTCAGATATGAAAAAGAAGACGTTGGCACTTTGTTAGGATGGATTAAATTTATCAGATCTGTTACAATCGCGTATTAAAAGATTGAAGGGCAAAATGAAAACCGTCTATCCTCCTTTATTCAATAACCTTGAAGTAAACATTGAATTAGATAGATTACATAATCAGTACGTACTTGTCCCTGCTGACAAAGCAAGTAACAACATTGTCTTCGTTTTCAATGCTCATTTTATAAATTTTTTTTCAGAAGAACTTGGATTTAATTCTACATTATGTACCAGTGGTAATCCATCTTATACACATAGTTCCCCTTCTAAGGAAGAAATTCTTCAATATCATAATTATGTCAGTTTGAATATTTTTAATATCCGAAACAACCAAAATGAATTTGAACTACCATATTACCAAAAGTTCCATGGCATTTTTAAGTATCCACATCTAATTGAAACCACTTCTTGAATATACTGTTGCACAGTACTCTTGAAGTTTCTCCTTTAATACTGTTAACATCTTAGTGAGGAGTATAAAGGAAGAGGCTTGGTTGAACATTTACTAGAACCCGCTATGTATCTTTTATTGTGAGATTCTTTTTAGTGAATTTTCGGAATCCAATATAAATATGGTAGTTCAAATTCATTTTGGTTGTTTGGGGTCCTAAAAAATACTCAAAACTGACATATGATTTTGAAGAATATCTTCCTTGGAGAGGGAGCTATGAGTATAAGTTATATTTCACTTATGGAATCAAATCCAAGTTCTTTTAAATACAATTAATATAATAGCCTTACAAACGAAGACAATGTTGTTGTAATCTAATTCTTTAAAATAATGTCCGATATTCTACCTAGATGAGTTACCGCTTGGTGATAATTTGAGTCCCCTACATTGTACCACATTTTGGCCATCAACCATGTATATGGTGGATCACTGGGCAGAAACACCTGAAAAAAGGTTAAACTTATATCATTCAGAGAACACTTTTACACTTTAGACTCAATAACCTCTACTTTCAATACGATTTCTTTTTGAAGTTTCATCAAGACGTCGTTCTTACTGGGTTGTCACATCCCTTCTGTTGAAAAAGTTGTATCGCAACTGGCAATAGTTGATTTTTGCAGTTGACGAAGAAGAGAGCGATGGGAGTCGGACACTGAAATTTTAAGAAAATAAGTTTAGAGAACATTTAATCAGTATATATTCATTCATCTTTAAAGTCATTATTAAAAATTCCTTATTAAGGATAAATAACACAAACAAACTTTTTTCAGAAATTAGCATTATTTCTCATAGATTTACATTTAAATTGGTAACCTGAATAATGTTTGTCAAGGAGATTGGGAGAATTATATAAGATTATGTCATAAGGTTAAAAAATTGTGCAAAATTTTGTATGGAATTGTATAGAAGGCAAAACAAAATCTCATATCTAAGCATCAAGGAAAACCTACGATTTCTTTTTAATTCAGGGATAAATTATTTATGTCATTTTAAATCGAAATCAGTCAAAAATTATATATCAAGCCGTGCATCCATTTTTTGTTTGTGGTAAGTACCCTTAATGGAAGCATAAAAATGACATTGGAACATTCACACGCATCACAAATATAGCACGTTTCTTTATTTTACGACATTTATATCTTGTGGCTTATGGCGCTCTTCCACCGTACTTAATCTTGTGTATGAACAGAAATTCTAGAATGGGTAAACAATTTTATTATTATCATATAGATGTTCACACACACTCACAGACGATGCAACTTACAACATAACCATCGACTAGAGAAATCCCATCCAGTATTTCTAGATCAATGATGAATAGACGTTTGTCACTGATGGCTTGGGACAAAGTCAATCCATCTAGAAAAGGTTTGATCATTTCCTCGGTCACCCCAAATCTGAAAGAAATGAATTTCAAATTGTAAGTATATCATATTTTTGCAAAATCACGAAGTAAAACTGGAAAGGTGATTTTGTTTTTGTTGACATGTATAATATTTGCTGAACAAAAAATTGTTAATTTAATTAAATCTGTTGATCAGCATTAATTACGATCCCTTACTTGTCTGGTATATGTGTACAGAGCCGAATCAGATTGGGGTTGACACTGTTCAATCGTTGCCATCCAAAATTTACATCACACTCCCAATCCTTCAAGTCCTAATGATTTAAGGTATGTTGCAAAATTTTTACGATAAATGAAAATTGTACATATAGTCAATGGAAAAATAACTTTAAAATAACAATAACAATGGAGCGATGTTTCAATCTAACAAACACTTTCATAATTGCCTGATTTTTTTTTAATTTGTGTGATATACTGTATATATCAAATTTATAGATAAATTGTCATTGCTTTGATACAAAAAATGTCAATAAATGATGCTTTTGACTAATTTGCAATACGTCAAGGTAAAGAACGCAAGATGAGGTTTTTTTCTTTACTTTGGGCAATATCAACAACATCATACTTGTCACATTCCGTTTTTTGAAATTATGAAAACCCTATGAAGAATTTGTTTTTACACTCTAAAACAGCAATAAGGACTATAATGTATTCATAGCAATGTTTTAGACAAGCGAATTCAAAGAGTTCTGTTCCCCACTTTCGATGCAGGTCTTTGTGAGTGAGATGTTATTTTTCTGGCATATTGTGTCAAATATGAACTCCCTACCATATGTCATTCAATTGTTACCACCGAAGTAATTTTTGTTTCAAAATTAGGTCAATCGTGAAGGTCAAGGTCAGAAATTTTTCAAATCATCAGGAATCATGTGCGAAAATACCGGTATCTTGTCACAGGTACTGCACTTGTCAAATATGAAAGCAATTTCTCTTCTCAATCAAAAGTTATTTGATAAGAAATTAGCATTCCTGAAAAGTAGGTCAAACTTTAAGTTCAATATCCAAAAATCAAAGTTAATCTATAAAGTCTTGTCACAGATAGTAGACAGTTAGATATGGAAGCCCCATGTATTCATTTTAAGTGATGTTTTATTTTTAAAAAGAACATCAAGATCAAGGCCTCAAATTCATAGTGTATTTAAAAAGGTCTTGTCACAGGCATTACACAGCTTTAATACAACAACTCTATCTCTACCCATTCATGACCAAGGTTAAAGTTTTTGAAAAGTAGGTCAAACTTCAAGGTCACGGGGTAAAAAAATTATAGTGTATTTAAAATGTCTTGACATAGGTAATATACATCTGTAATATGAAAGTCCCCGCTCTTCTTATTTAAAAGATTTGACAAAGGTTAAAGTTTTTTTGAAGGACAGACAGATCTACAGACTTACATACTGACATACATACGAATGATATTTAATGTCCCCTCACTTTCGCGAAAACGGGGGACAATACAATAATGCAACATATATGTTACCTTTGGCTCTCCAAATGTTTTTGAGTAGACACCTGTCAAGTCGTCTAAAGTTTCCCATGATCCATCGCCAAAAATAATATCCAATCTTCTACTAACCACCACACTGGATATTCTTCGATGCAGATCAAACTGTGATAATACCGTGATTTTATGAATAAATTTATTTCCGCCATTTTCTTTTATTTATTTTTTGTCCCCACACAATTCATTAATTTTGAATTATCACTTGACTGAAATATATGGAGATAACTAACATAAAGTCAATTAAGCGATATAATTCAGGACCAGAGGAGCATGGACCTCTATTAGAGGTGGTATCAGGTGCCTTGGAGGAGTGAGCATCCTTTGCCGTGTGCAAGTATTCCTTATCATGATCGGGAAATAAAGAGGAAAATCCGTCGACAGTACACTCACGTGTAGATAATGATCCAACTTATGCAATGGTGACTTTAAAAAACTTGATAGCTGATATTTTTGTTTCATCATAATGTTTGTCGATAACGTACCTCGTTTAAGAAATTTATAAATTGTCCATACGTGGATTATGTTCTTGCGTATCGAATCAGTTGAGAGATGTAGAAGATAATACTGCTGCATAAGTAAGAAGTGTTGATGATTGAAAAGTAATCATTATCACAAAGAACTGTTGTTAGATAACTATAAACGTGTTTTTTATAGTAAAATATCCAAAGATGAAAGAGATAAATCAGACTCTGTGGAATCTTGTATTTCAAGTTCGCCAGGATAAATCGTACCGAAATAAGAATAGAAATTACCATTGTTAATTGACAATGTCGTTGATAAATGTCGACTTAAAGGCCACAGTACATACAAGCTTTTGAGCAAATTCTACTTCATATGAATACAAACTTAGGTCTGCTAATAAGGGGACGCAATTGATACTCATTGGGATTCCAACAGATTGATTGTTGGATATCCTGGTCTCCTAAGTTTTTATTTCGGTAAAATTCTGTGATTTCAAATTTTTCAAAAGTTCTTTCAAGATTATCCGATCCTCAGCCATGAAGGATACCTTTTAAATTTATAGTTTAATTCAAAAAGTATCAAAATAAAGCTTGAACTTTTAAACCTTTTCATGCAACAATTGTCATTTTATGCCTTTCGGTATGATTCAAGGTTCTTTAAAGTTTTTATAAACAGTAACAAAAAAGTTGATATTTCTATCCATAAAAGTTTGTAAAACGTACATATTTAAGAAAATCAAAGTTCTTTTAATCTAGCCTTCAATCTAGCCTTACATTTAACAATGTTTATAAGCATAAATTGAAATTAGAAGTGATTTCTGGTGTTTTCTTTGATTGGAAACACTTCATACACTATGCATTACAAAATGATCGAAGTAATTTAATAGGAAAAACTAAAGTACCGAATAGGTATGGAAATCATGCAAAAAGCCTGAATACCGATGATTTTTATTCCTGAAATGTATTAAATAAAATTATATATATTTAATACATTTTAGGAATAAAAATCAAATATTGCATATTTTTTTATTGATAATTGATTTATAAATATAAATCAATTATCAATAAGAAAATATGCAGTATGTAGTTCTGTTCAAATTTCCTGAAAATTTTTTTGAGATTTACTAATTTTCCATATATGATATGATAAACTTTAAAGACAAAGTTTGAAGAAACTCTCTCTGTGGGTAAATACATATGATTGAGAATTTAGAGATATCTTTGTGAGCATTTTCTATTACTGATATTCAGAACCAGAGGATCGGATTACCTTAAATACTAGTATCCACATCTGATTTAAACCACTTCACAAAAATATTTTGTTGTACAGTACTTCTGAAGTTTCACCTTCAGTACTGTTGATAGTTTAGTTGATAGTTTAGTGAGGAGTGAACAAAGACAAATAGTACAGGATTTGCAGGAACCCGGTATAAATTTTGTTTGTAATGATTTTTTTTTATGACGTTTCGGAATCCAAGAGATACGACAGTTCAAATTCATTTTGGTTGTTGGGAAAATCTTAAATGATGGTGCTTTTTCAAGATTTAAAGTTAGAGTATCTCTTTTGGTGTTGTACATGATATTTTTTATGATGAAGTTTTATAAAATTGTAAAATGTTCTTTATAATTGATTTTTTTTAATTATACCGCACAACTCAAAAGACCCAGAGATGAATCGTTGAAGGGACATAACAAAATTATAAGTTTACATTTTTTTAATTAAAAGGTAAATATCTGATATCTGCATGTTTTACTGACTCTAGACGATAACTGCATGACGATCGAGATAACCTCAGATTTTCAACTGTCACCTTTTCGAATTTCTTAATTTTTGAAGAATTATTCCCGTTATAATACGATTATGGTCTTTATATCTCGCAAATTCATTCGCTATTCAAGAGCTTGCTATGAATACGGTTAATTTTAAAAGCAAGGTGTGCTACTTAATGAAAAAATGATGTTACAGTGATTACAACAATCTTTTTTAAAGTCAATATTTCGTGCATTCTTTGGCCTTTATAATGACTTTGTCATATATACATGTACATATATAAGCAAATATGACTTATCACTAGGTCATAGTTTGACTACGAAATGTTTTGTCTACCTGATCAATACACAAGGCTCACGGCGGGTGTAACCGGTCAACAGGGGATGTTAACTCCTAACTAGACACCTGATCCCATCCCGGGAATTTCCCAGGGTCAATGTTTTATGCCCTCTTCAAATGTTTGGATTGTTTAAAGATTTTTTTTTTAGATCAATAAGTATTCGTTATCTTAAGCAGTTTCATACATATGTCTCTATGAATAAAAAAGATATACCATTGTATTAAAAATGGTGGAAGTATATTTGTTTGATCATCTCCAGAACTTGGAAAGTTAGGGAAAAAATGGTCACCTACCTTATGAGAAAAAGAGAAGTTTTCATCCTCAGGAACATTTTTAACCTACGATTAAATGAGTCAACAAAGACAATAAATATATTTTGCACATTATTAAATACATTAACTTACTACAGTATTCTTTTACGATGACAGATTTCCATCCGTACCTGCATGGGTAATCCTGGTGCTTTCTCCTCATACTCGTAGAGCTTCCTTTTCTCATCCAACTCAGCACTGCGCTGTTGCGGCCGAGGATCAAACTGTGGCAAAGAGACATCATATCGTCCAACATAGAAATCAACGTCAGGGCGAATCCACCGAAGTATTGGGAAAACACTAGTCTTTCCGCTCCTCTGATTGGTTACTTCAATTTTTTCAACAAACCAATCGCTGAACATGCCCGCTTTGTCCCTTCGCAACTTGATTTCATTTATTTCAGGAATATCTGTCTTATCTTTTATGGTAAAGACATCGGTCTTGCCTCGCTCAAAGTCATTTCTATACCAACAATCAAGATTGGCCGACTTTGTTTTCTTCCCACAGCTCCCCAGTAGAACAATCTCTACGTTGGCATCTGTACCCGCTCCCAGTCTATCCCCTGTCTTCACTTTAATTTCGTAGCTGGTCATTGCAGATATTAGTAAGTAATGAAATATACTAGACAGAGGATGATAAAGGACTTTAATTTGTCTTTATATTTCGAAATTGAACCTTGTACAACCACCGCCTGATCCTTAATGCATCTATCTTTGACCAGGATATTTATCATATCCTTGAATATTACAAATGAGAATCAAGCCAGAGAGGGTTGAATCGTGTATTTACAAGTTTTCATTGCTTATGAATTTTTGGGGGGCATTTTTCAAAAATCTACAATTCATTCGTTACAAAAACTCTAATGGCGCCCTACACTGCCTAAACATATGAAATATTATAAAAAAAAGAACAGCTATGGACTATTCAAATACATGTATATTAATTTTGATTGGAACGCATCATTTGATTGGATAAAAGAAATCACACTACATCGTATTACCTATGTTGCCTAGGACATGTAACTTATTATACAACAACGAATTTAGTTATAATTTTTACAAAATCAGAAAAATTAAAAATTTTCAAATGTGAGTTAAGTAAATAATAAGGGACTAAATTTTAAAATATATCAAATAAATATGATTTTAAAAACAAACTGCAATTTTGTTGGCTTTTGAAAGCTTCCAATCTAAGTAAAGACATGAATCCGTAAAGACAAAAATCCGTAAAAAAGTGTTTTTTTCTTTCTTAGAAAACTGTCAATCTTTCTGTATCATTTTGTATTTCGATCAATTTAACTTCTTTACCATATATATATATATATAATTTCAAAACAAAATGAAGAATCGGTACAGTTTTTGGTATATTTAAAAGTAAAAATCCAAAAATATCACAAAACATTTACTGCAAGCGCTTTCGCCATGTTCGGCTCTTCAGGCAGTTATACAAATGTCAGGTAGGTTACCTGGTAACGTCAAAAGCATAAAGTTCATTGTGACGTCATAATAGATGTAGGTAGCGTTAAGTTGGCGTAATTGTTAATGTACAAATCTTGCACTAACTTTCACACATTATACAAATGAAATTTCAAAATATAAAATATACAGTATCATTTCCGATTAAGTTTGGGTTTAAAGAGGTTGATAAAAAAAGTCTTCTTTTGCCAAACGTAAATTTTCGTTTTCACTTGGAAGTTTATAAAAAGGGAAAATCTTAAATATTCCTTTGCCACATTTTGCGAAATGTTCACAACACGGTGTATTACGCACACTAGGGTCTTTAATTTGTTGCTTGTGCACACGAACCCTGGCATTTAATTTTCCCGTTTGTCCAATATAATATTCTTTACACGTCGGACAGATGGCACAGTAGATGACGTTTTCCGATTTACAGTTCATAGATGAGTTGGTTCGAATTTCCATTCCTGATTTAAGTTGGATTTTATTCCCCTCTTCTAAATATGTACATGTTCCGCATCTCGGATTTCCGCATTTTTTAATGGTTGGAATTTCCTCCTGTGTTGTAAAACGGGCCTTGGTCAACAGTTTTTTAAGACTTGGTGCTTGTCGTCGACTGTTTATGATATCATTTGGCTGAACTAAACTTTTCATGTTTTCCGATTGTTCTAAAATGGGATAAAATCTTTTAGCGTCCATAAGGATGTTTCTGTTCCTTGGGTTATGGGTAACTACAAAGGCTATTTTCCCGTCATCATCGGTGTCGTCTATATGGCGTGGATTTCTTAGGTCCTCTATTGGAATTTCGGATGCCTTTTCTATTCCAATGTTTATTAGATCCAATGGATAATTTTGCCGTCTTAAATATAGTTTTAATTCTTCCAAACGTCTACATCGTAGGGTTTCATCTGTAATAATTGTACAAATTCTCCGTGCTAAATTAAACGGAATATTACGTTTTGTGTGGGATGGGTGGCACGATCTAAAATCCAAATATTGGTGCGTGTCCGTGGGTTTACAGTACAAGTCTGTAGTTATACACGATCCATTCTTTATAATAAGAAGATCTAAAAATGGAAGTTCCGTACTACTTTTTTCTATAGTAAATTGTATGGAATCATGGAGGTTATTTAGAAGTGAATGGAATTTAGTTAAGTCTTCTTCACTCCTGGTCCAAAATATGAAGCAGTCGTCTAGGTAACGTTTCCAATTATTTTTTATGTAGTTAGCAAAGTCGACATCAAACAGTTCAGGTATTTTTCCATATAGTTGATCTTCTAAATATCCCATCACTAAAGTTGCGTATGAGGGAGCAACTTTTGTCCCCATGGCGGAATCCAACGGAATTATAGGGATTTTAGAAGAAATCTCGGAGAAAATTTCTACACTTTGTAGTAAGTATGAGAATCTTACTGTTGCAATCAAGGATATGGAGGAACTGAACCGCATATTTCGAGAGGAAGTCCAGGTCTTATTATCTACCAGGAATGCTGACAACGATGGAAATATTATGTCACATGGAAATAACTATGCGACTAATGCGGAAAATATAATTCAACAATGGAGCGAATTAAATCTTGAAAAGGAAGCTTACAAGAAGAGGAGACAACTGAAAGGAGTATGGTTTAAACTTCTTAACCAGAGGAAACAGGCATACTGGAATGCTATCAAAAATGAAAATCTTGCCAATACCTACGAAAACTGGAAAAATGAAGAAATAATTATTTTTCCCAGGAAATTTAGGATCAAAGCGATCGACTCGGAATCCACCGAGGACCAGAAATTAGAGCTAATTTAGCACTACAAAGATTTGAGACGGAAATTACATTACTTCGACTGAGAGTTCCTAAATTCAAAAGTCAGTTCGAAAATTGTGATAAAGTTATGACCGAAGAAATACAAAAATGCAGTAATGGCAAAATGGAGGAAAAACTACTGGAATTATGGCTTAAGGATGTGTCAAGAGAGGAGGAGAGATCACAAAAATTCTTGGAATCTAAAAAAGTGTGGTTAGATCAATACAAAGAAAACTACGGCAATGAAACAACCAAAACACCAAATAAATCAAAACCGGAAAACAGACCAACCAAGAAAAATTTCAACAGAAAACCGAGAGACAACTTTCCGGAAAGAAAAAACAACAGATTTACCAACTCTAAATCTAGATCAAAGACACCTCAAGAGCGTCACACATCGTATGCAAATGCCGTAAAAAATGGCAATTTACCTAAGCGAATTGCCAATCAGAGAATACCAAATAACCCACGAGGATTCCTCCCAAGAAATCAAAACAATTATGGTCCGACCAAGGGAAGATTCAACAACATGAGAACCGGTCATAATGGCGATAGACGACAAAATGGTGGCCATCAAAATCAACCATTACAGGATCAAGAGATTAGAGAAAAACGGAACTCCAAACAAAATTCGAACAACAGAAAACATTTTTTAGGACCACGCCAACCTCAAAGAACACGGAAAAAACAAGCAACTTTCCGTTTCAAGAGTCATTAAATAATAAATCAACAGGTCCCAAAATTATTAATCTCTCAAGCAGAGATTTAAATAATATCGAAAAAGAAATATTATTCAGGGGATTAAAATTTACGCCAACACCAAAGAGGGACAATGTGGACTTAATTGCAGATACGGATGAATTTTGTCGCAAATTACGTTTAAGAGAATATTTTCAAAATTCTCCATATGATGATGAATCCCTTGTTAGAAACAAAAAAGGATTTAGACCGCCGATAAACAGAGACAAACATTTAGAAGAATTTATAACATGTCTTAAGTCTTCTGCTCACTCTAACAAAGAAGAAACGAGGACAAAAAGTAATATATCTAAATCCCAACAAAATGCAATACAGGATCTACGGAATGATTCATCCATAATCATAAAAGAAGCTGATAAAGGAGGCGCTGTTATTATTATGGACAAACCCCATTATAAGGAAATGGTACTGAACGAACTTGAGAACTGTCGGTTTTATAGAAAATTAACAGCCAACGAAGATCGTCACACAATGCTCAAGGTTGAGAAATTAACTAAAAAATATGCCGACAATTTAACAAAAAATGAAATTGATTTCTTAACTAACTTTGAATTGAAATCCAGTAATTTCTACGGATTACCAAAAGTCCACAAATCTAAGGAGATCCAGGAAGCTGTGAAAAATTGTGATGACGCATATATAAAAATATCCCAACCTGCTGACCTTAAAATACGTCCGATCATCGCTGGACCTGCATCAAGCACCCAACGACTGAGTAATTTATTGGACATTTTATTGAAACCACTATGCAAATTATTACCCAGCTTCGTAAGAGATGATATGGATTTTCTGAATTATATTCCCCAAAATGTAGACCCAAACACTATTCTCGTCAGTTTTGATGTTACAAGTTTGTACACAAATATCCCACATACTTTGGGACTGGAAGCAGTTAGTTACTGGATAGACAAACATCCGGATATTATAAATGAACGATTCCCAAAAGAATTCATTTTAGAAGGACTGAAGATAGTGTTGGAAAATAACCATTTCCATTTTAACAATGAGTTCTACCTACAAATAAAAGGAACCGCCATGGGGACAAAAGTTGCTCCCTCATACGCAACTTTAGTGATGGGATATTTAGAAGATCAACTATATGGAAAAATACCTGAACTGTTTGATGTCGACTTTGCTAACTACATAAAAAATAATTGGAAACGTTACCTAGACGACTGCTTCATATTTTGGACCAGGAGTGAAGAAGACTTAACTAAATTCCATTCACTTCTAAATAACCTCCATGATTCCATACAATTTACTATAGAAAAAAGTAGTACGGAACTTCCATTTTTAGATCTTCTTATTATAAAGAATGGATCGTGTATAACTACAGACTTGTACTGTAAACCCACGGACACGCACCAATATTTGGATTTTAGATCGTGCCACCCATCCCACACAAAACGTAATATTCCGTTTAATTTAGCACGGAGAATTTGTACAATTATTACAGATGAAACCCTACGATGTAGACGTTTGGAAGAATTAAAACTATATTTAAGACGGCAAAATTATCCATTGGATCTAATAAACATTGGAATAGAAAAGGCATCCGAAATTCCAATACCTAAGAAATCCACGCC